TTTTTGTTTTTTTTTTCCTGTTTTTTATTGTTTTTTCCTGTTTTTTATTGTTTTTTTTTCTTCTTGTTTCTTCTGGTTTTTTTTTCTTTTTTTTTTTTTTTTTTCTTTCTTTTTCTTGTTTTTTCTTGTTTATTTTTTCTTGTTTTCTTTTGTTTTATTTTTTCTTGTTTTCTTTTGTTTTTTTTTTGTTTTTTTTTTTTGTTTTTTCTTGTTTTTTCTTGTTTTTTTTTTTTTCTTGGTTTTTTTTTTTTTTTCTTGGTTTTTTTTTTTCTTGGTTTTTTTTTCTTGGTTTTTTTTGTTGTTTTTTTCTAGTTATTTCTTGTTTTTTCATGTTTTTTCTTTTTTTTTCTTGTTTTTCTTTTTTTTTGTTTTTTTCTAGTTTTTATTTTTGTTTTTTTCCTTTTTTTTTTGTTGTTTTTCTCGTTATTTCTTGTTATTTCTTGTTTTTTCTTGTTTTTTCTTGTTTTTTGTTTTTTTTTTTCTTGTTTTTTCTTTTTTTTTTTTTCTTGTTTTATTTTTTCTTGTTTTTTCTTATTTTATTTTTTTCTAGTTTTCTTTTGTTTTTCCTTGTTTTTTTTTCTTGTTTTCATCTTGTTTTTTCTTGTTTTTTCTTGTTTTTTCTTGTTTTTTCTTATTTTTTCTTGTTTTTTCTTGTTTTTCTTGTTTTTCTTGTTTTTCTTGTTTTTCTTGTTTTTCTTGTTTTTCTTGTTTTTCTTGTTTTTCTTGTTTTTCTTGTTTTTCTTGTTTTTCTTGTTTTTCTTGTTTTTCTTGTTTTTCTTGTTTTTCTTGTTTTTCTTGTTTTTCTTGTTTTTCTTGTTTTTCTTGTTTTTCTTGTTTTTCTTGTTTTTCTTGTTTTTCTTGTTTTTCTTGTTTTTCTTGTTTTTCTTGTTTTTCTTGTTTTTCTTGTTTTTCTTGTTTTTCTTGTTTTTCTTGTTTTTCTTGTTTTTCTTGTTTTTCTTGTTTTTCTTGTTTTTCTTGTTTTTCTTGTTTTTCTTGTTTTTCTTGTTTTTCTTGTTTTTCTTGTTTTTCTTGTTTTTCTTGTTTTTCTTGTTTTTCTTGTTTTTCTTGTTTTTCTTGTTTTTCTTGTTTTTTGTTTTTCTTGTTTTTCTTGTTTTTCTTGTTTTTTTCTTGTTTTTCTTGTTTTTCTTGTTTTTCTTGTTTTTCTTGTTTTTCTTGTTTTTCTTGTTTTTCTTGTTTTTCTTGTTTTTCTTGTTTTTCTTGTTTTTCTTGTTTTTCTTGTTTTTCTTGTTTTTCTTGTTTTTCTTGTTTTTCTTGTTTTTCTTGTTTTTCTTGTTTTTCTTGTTTTTCTTGTTTTTCTTGTTTTTCTTGTTTTTCTTGTTTTTCTTGTTTTTCTTGTTTTTCTTGTTTTTCTTGTTTTTCTTGTTTTTCTTGTTTTTCTTGTTTTTCTTGTTTTTCTTGTTTTTCTTGTTTTTCTTGTTTTTCTTGTTTTTCTTGTTTTTCTTTTTTCTTGTTTTTCTTTTTTCTTGTTTTTCTTGTTTTTCTTGTTTTTCTTGTTTTTCTTGTTTTTCTTGTTTTTCTTGTTTTTCTTGTTTTTCTTGTTTTTCTTGTTTTTCTTGTTTTTCTTGTTTTTCTTGTTTTTCTTGTTTTTCTTGTTTTTCTTGTTTTTCTTGTTTTTCTTGTTTTTCTTGTTTTTCTTGTTTTTCTTGTTTTTCTTGTTTTTCTTGTTTTTCTTGTTTTTCTTGTTTTTCTTGTTTTTCTTGTTTTTCTTGTTTTTCTTGTTTTTCTTGTTTTTCTTGTTTTTCTTGTTTTTCTTGTTTTTCTTGTTTTTCTTGTTTTTCTTGTTTTTCTTGTTTTTCTTGTTTTTCTTGTTTTTCTTGTTTTTCTTGTTTTTCTTGTTTTTCTTGTTTTTCTTGTTTTTCTTGTTTTTCTTGTTTTTCTTGTTTTTCTTGTTTTTCTTGTTTTTCTTGTTTTTCTTGTTTTTCTTGTTTTTCTTGTTTTTCTTGTTTTTCTTGTTTTTCTTGTTTTTCTTGTTTTTCTTGTTTTTCTTGTTTTTCTTGTTTTTCTTGTTTTTCTTGTTTTTCTTGTTTTTCTTGTTTTTCTTGTTTTTCTTGTTTTTCTTGTTTTTCTTGTTTTTCTTGTTTTTCTTGTTTTTCTTGTTTTTCTTGTTTTTCTTGTTTTTCTTGTTTTTCTTGTTTTTCTTGTTTTTCTTGTTTTTCTTGTTTTTCTTGTTTTTCTTGTTTTTCTTGTTTTTCTTGTTTTTCTTGTTTTTCTTGTTTTTCTTGTTTTTCTTGTTTTTCTTGTTTTTCTTGTTTTTCTTGTTTTTCTTGTTTTTCTTGTTTTTCTTGTTTTTCTTGTTTTTCTTGTTTTTCTTGTTTTTCTTGTTTTTCTTGTTTTTCTTGTTTTTCTTGTTTTTCTTGTTTTTCTTGTTTTTCTTGTTTTTCTTGTTTTTCTTGTTTTTCTTGTTTTTCTTGTTTTTCTTGTTTTTCTTGTTTTTCTTGTTTTTCTTGTTTTTCTTGTTTTTCTTGTTTTTCTTGTTTTTCTTGTTTTTCTTGTTTTTCTTGTTTTTCTTGATTTTCTTGTTTTTCTTGTTTTTCTTGTTTTTCTTGTTTTTCTTGTTTTTCTTGTTTTTCTTGTTTTTCTTGTTTTTCTTGTTTTTCTTGTTTTCTTGTTTTTCTTGTTTTTCTTGTTTTTCTTGTTTTTCTTGTTTTTCTTGTTTTTTTTGTTTTTCTTGTTTTTCTTGTTTTTCTTGTTTTTCTTGTTTTTCTTGTTTTCTTGTTTTTCTTGTTTTTCTTGTTTTTCTTGTTTTTCTTGTTTTTCTTGTTTTTCTTGTTTTTCTTGTTTTTCTTGTTTTTCTTGTTTTTCTTGTTTTTCTTGTTTTTCTTGTTTTTCTTGTTTTTCTTGTTTTTCTTGTTTTTCTTGTTTTTCTTGTTTTTCTTGTTTTTCTTGTTTTTCTTGTTTTTCTTGTTTTTCTTGTTTTTCTTGTTTTTCTTGTTTTTCTTGTTTTTCTTGTTTTTCTTGTTTTTCTTGTTTTTCTTGTTTTTCTTGTTTTTCTTGTTTTTCTTGTTTTTCTTGTTTTTCTTGTTTTTCTTGTTTTTCTTGTTTTTCTTGTTTTTCTTGTTTTTCTTGTTTTTCTTGTTTTTCTTGTTTTTCTTGTTTTTCTTGTTTTTCTTGTTTTTCTTGTTTTTCTTGTTTTTCTTGTTTTTCTTGTTTTTCTTGTTTTTCTTGTTTTTCTTGTTTTTCTTGTTTTTCTTGTTTTTCTTGTTTTTCTTGTTTTTCTTGTTTTTCTTGTTTTTCTTGTTTTTCTTGTTTTTCTTGTTTTTCTTGTTTTTCTTGTTTTTCTTGTTTTTCTTGTTTTTCTTGTTTTTCTTGTTTTTCTTGTTTTTCTTGTTTTTCTTGTTTTTCTTGTTTTTCTTGTTTTTCTTGTTTTTCTTGTTTTTCTTGTTTTTCTTGTTTTTCTTGTTTTTCTTGTTTTTCTTGTTTTTCTCTGTTTTTCTTGTTTTTCTTGTTTTTCTTGTTTTTCTTGTTTTTCTTGTTTTTCTTGTTTTTCTTGTTTTTCTTGTTTTTCTTGTTTTTCTTGTTTTTCTTGTTTTTCTTGTTTTTCTTGTTTTTCTTGTTTTTCTTGTTTTTCTTGTTTTTCTTGTTTTTCTTGTTTTTCTTGTTTTTCTTGTTTTTCTTGTTTTTCTTGTTTTTTCTTGTTTTTCTTGTTTTTCTTGTTTTTCTTGTTTTTCTTGTTTTTCTTGTTTTTCTTGTTTTTCTTGTTTTTCTTGTTTTTCTTGTTTTTCTTGTTTTTCTTGTTTTTCTTGTTTTTCTTGTTTTTCTTGTTTTTCTTGTTTTTCTTGTTTTTCTTGTTTTTCTTGTTTTTCTTGTTTTTCTTGTTTTTCTTGTTTTTCTTGTTTTTCTTGTTTTTCTTGTTTTTCTTGTTTTTCTTGTTTTTCTTGTTTTTCTTGTTTTTCTTGTTTTTCTTGTTTTTCTTGTTTTTCTTGTTTTTCTTGTTTTTCTTGTTTTTCTTGTTTTTCTTGTTTTTCTTGTTTTTCTTGTTTTTCTTGTTTTTCTTGTTTTTCTTGTTTTTCTTGTTTTTCTTGTTTTTCTTGTTTTTCTTGTTTTTCTTGTTTTTCTTGTTTTTCTTGTTTTTCTTGTTTTTCTTGTTTTTCTTGTTTTTCTTGTTTTTCTTGTTTTTCTTGTTTTTCTTGTTTTTCTTGTTTTTCTTGTTTTTCTTGTTTTTCTTGTTTTTCTTGTTTTTCTTGTTTTTCTTGTTTTTCTTGTTTTTCTTGTTTTTTCTTGTTTTTCTTGTTTTTCTTGTTTTTCTTGTTTTTCTTGTTTTTCTTGTTTTTCTTGTTTTTCTTGTTTTTCTTGTTTTTCTTGTTTTTCTTGTTTTCTTGTTTTCTTGTTTTCTTGTTTTTCTTATTTTTTCTTGTTTTTTTTTTCTTCTGTTTTTCTTGTTTTTTTTCTCTTGTTTTTTTTTGTTTTTTCTTTTTTTTGTTGTTTTTTCTTTTTTTTGTTGTTTTTTCTTGTTATTTTTTGTTATATCCTGTTTTTTATTGTTTTTTTTTTGTTTTTCTTGTTTTTTTTGTTTTTTTTTTTCTGGTTTTTTCTTGTTTTTTTCTAGTTTTTCCTGTTTTTTCCCATTTTTCTCTTGTTTTTTTTTTTCTCCTGTTTTTCTTGTTTTTCTTGTATGTTCTTGTTTTTTTTATTTTTTATTGTATTTTGATTGTTTTTTTCTTGTTTTTCTGTTTTTTAACTGTTTTTTACTGTTCTTTACTGTTTTTACTGTTTTTTTTTTACTGTTTTCTTACTGTTTTTTTACTGTTTTTTTTTTACTGTTTTTTACCGTTTTTTTACTGTTTTTTACTGTTTTTTTACTGTTTTTTACTGTTTTTTTACTGTTTTTTTACTGTTTTTTTTTTACTTACTGTTTTTTACTGTTTTTTTTTACTGTTTTTTGCTTTTTTTTTATCTATCATTAAATATTTTTATGAGGTTGTCATATATTTGTATTCTTTTTATCAGTATCTATAAATTTTGAAATTATATTTTTTTAGGGCTTTAAAAGAAATCGAAGATAAGATTTTAATGGTATTGAGCACTTCTCAAGGTAACATTTTAGAAGACGAATCAGCTGTTCAAATTTTAAGTTCTTCCAAAGTAATATCAAACGATATTGCCGCAAAACAAGCTGTAGCCGAAGTCACTGAAAAGCAAATCGATAATGCTAGATTGGAATACACCCCGATTGCAGCACATTCCACCATTCTCTTTTTTTCAATTGGTCAGTAGAATATTTTTTGGATGACATAGAAATATGATCTAAATTGATTTTTTTAGCTGACTTGGCAAACATTGATCCGATGTACCAGTACTCGTTAGTCTGGTTCATCAATTTGTTCAAATCTGGTATCGATAATACTGAACGAGTTGAAGATGTTCAGCATAGACTTAGAGATTTGGAAACATATTTCACGTATTCATTGTACGTTAACATTTGTCGTAGTTTATTTGAAAAAGTAAGTAAATAATTTTGGAAGTTTTGACATTTGGCGTATTAAAATTACGATGATATCATTAACCTATCATTAACTCGAGGAAATATTGTGACGAAAGTCTAATTTATTTTTAGTTTATTTAAAAACACTATTTACAATTTATTTCAGACGTACTATTTAATTTATATAATACTTAGACACTAACTAACAATTCTAACTTTTCATTACAATGTTCTATATTCAACTGTCTATAATCAAAACTCGGCGCTAATACGTCGGCTATTTATATTAGTCCAACTCTGCTACTGGAAGATACTCGAGGCTCTCGAAGATTCCACTTCTATGACTAAACGGCATTCCCCGCCGTTCCAGCTGTTTCTAGTGCATCAGCGGTAGGCATTCCGTTTCTTGTATATTCGAAACGCGGTCCGATTGATTTCACACGTCAGCGTTGCTTCGATCACGAGTCGGTTGCCATGTGAAAGTTGCGTACTTAGACAGAGTCGGACCTAGAAATTCATGACAATATAAACATATATAACTGGAATAAATTACAATCCTACTTATTTTTTTTAGGACAAACTACTGTTTTCTCTTTTACTGACCATAAACTTAATGGCTAGTCGCGGCGATTTAAATAAAGCAGAATGGATGTTCTTCTTAACAGGAGGCGTAGGCTTAGAAAATGTAAATATTAATCCTACTACTTGGCTAATTAAGAAATCTTGGGATGAACTTTGCAGACTTAACGATTTACAAGCTTTCCAGTAAGTAAAGATAACCTTGTTACCTAATACAAAGTTTATTTATTTAAAAATTGTGTTTTGTTTACTTTTACTTAAATACTTATTTGTTTTATTGTTTAATTTATTTGTACTTAATAATAATTTATATAGTTTACTGATATACTTATTTACTTTCACAATATTTATTGGAACAAAAAATTACTTCTGTAGCCTTCGACATAGTTTTTTTCTTTTGGGGATAAAAATCCTTTACGAACACTACCTCTAGGAAGAAGTGTGGCACTCCCGAGTGGTCTACCCACTAAAAACATCTCCTTGCCAAAGTAGTTCTTCCTGGCTTGGTGCATTTCATCAAGAGGGGGAAGCAGTGATTAATGTTTCTTTTACCATATTTTTCTTATCATACTTATTCTTACTATATTTTCTTGCCATATTTTTTAGTATATATTCCTTTTTTCTTACCATTCTTTTTTTTTTATTTGTCTCGTTTCGTCTGCATAACGTCTTTTTCTTTCCTTGAGTATTTCAGTTGTAACTTGGGTATATTGTTCTCAAGATATACTTCTTCAGTTATATTTTCTAGCCTAATTCTCTCTCTATACCATCTACTACATATAAAAATTGTATGTTCTACTGTGTCTTTCTTCTCACTACAGTAGATATGTCTGACTATCAGTTACATAATTGTTTTTTTTGTATGCACCCTTGACCGATCAATATAGAGGCCCTCCTATATTTGGCAATATTCTGCTAAGGTTTCCTAAGGTCTTTTCTGTTTTTTTTTACTTTTGCTTTTATACGTGCTCAGTCATTCTCATATTTCGGTCTTGGTATATATCCAGATATTTGAGGCTCTTTTGGCTGTTAATAAGCATTTCTTCTACCTTCACTGCAACTCGTTTTGATTTTCTTTCACCTACAAGAAACACTGCTTCTGTTTTTGTTGAGCCAGTTTTATCTTCTTAGATTCCATCCATTCAGTTACTCTGCGTAGCGCTCGATAGACTATACGTGTCAATACGTCGGGATTCCTAGATCATCCGCATACCCATAAGTAACAGATATTCTCAATATTCCGTCATAGTATATATTCCAATTACTGATCCTTACGGTAACTGCCATTTTGCCTTTATTTCCCACAAATAGGGACGTATCTTGTAGGTAGCTGGCTATCATATTATATAGATATGGCTATATCCCTTTGCTATACAGTTCTTCGAGGAATCTTTCCCATGGTGTCGAGTTAAAGGCATTTTGAACATCTACGGTTATCACTAGGCAATTATTTTGGCTTGCTTTATCTTCTATACTCTGTACTTTTTTTACTTCATCGATTGTAGAGTTGTAGACCTTTTCTTTCTGAAACCATATTGTTTTGGGGCTAAATTACCACATCCCTTTATTTTAGATTTTAGTCTGATAAGAATTAGCTGTTTAAGCAGATTCGCCAATACATTCAGTACACAGGTGGGACTGTACGATTTGGGGTTCTGTCTTGTTTTCCCTTGTCTATTAACACCAATTTTACCATCTTTCATTCTATTAGAAATTCTCCTATGCTTATCATCTCATGAACCGTTCTCAGACATTTTTGAGGGTGACTGCGGATTATTGTCTTCACTACTTCTGCCGGTATTCCATCTGGCCCTGGTGCTTTCTTTTCTTTCAGTCGTTCATTTGCCTTTATTGGTATTTCCTGTGCCTTTACCGACATTCTATCCCACTCCCTTACATAATGATCAGGACTACAACTTTTGTGTAACAGTCTAATAGCCTTTGTCCCAGACGTCCGCATCCACTTTGGTTATAATTTTTTCCAGCTCTGTCTCTTTGCTTGTTTTATGGCTATCTTAAGTTCTCTTTTTTTCAGCTTATATCTTTATCTAATGATTATCTTCTGGTTTTCATTGTTTGCTTTATTTGCCCTTAATATTGCCCTTCTACTTTGCACACATGCCATTCTTTTCCCAGCTACTTCCCGAGTCCACCAATAAACTTGTTTCCTCCTTAGATTTCCCCTTTTCTTGCAACATGTCTCTATTCCGATGCTGTTACTGTCCTCTCACTGTTATCAATTACTTTGCCGAATTCTTTTACTAATTTATGCATGTTTTCTTTCTTGATTTGCCAGCCTCTCTTGCTAGTGCTCCTCCGGTATTGTTTCTTGTTATTGTTTTCCTGGACCTAATACAAAATATGTTGATGTAAGCTTAAGTTTTCTTTCTCCAATACTCTTCAGTTAATTAGGTGTTTGGCTATTTTTTGTGCTGAAAGTTATGTCTATATAGTATTCACTATTTCCCCTTATTAATGTAGGTACGTCTTCTTGATTATGTCCTCTTCTCCTAGCCATTCTGACAGTATTTTCTCCTCTTTTGTCTTTAAACTTTAAACTACATAAGACTTTGTATTAAAAACACCTTCTATTATCATCTCATACTGGTGCTGTCTCATGTCTTTTCTAAGGGCTATTAGGTATTCTAGAAATTGTTTTATATGCTTGTTTGGAGAAATATCGCAACTGTATATTACGAAATTTTCTATCTTTATCCAGACAAAACCGGATCCTTTTCCTGTGTATCTAATTTTTACATATTTTATAACTTTAATGGCTGCATTTTCATCTATTATCTATTTTATCTTATTTGGTTCCGACATTATTGTGATGTCAGCCTTTTTTTTCGGCAATTTTATATATTAGATCCATGGCTGTCTTTCCTCTGTCGATGTTTTCTTGGAGGATTTTCATCGCATTTTGTCTGTTAGTGGCGGTGGTCTCGGTGGTGGTAGTGGTAACGTTAATTATTTTAGTTTTCGTCTCTACTTTTTAGGAAACCTTCGGTTTAGTTGAAGTTAAAATAGACACTCATCTAACTCCTAAAGAATAGATTAGATTAGGAGTTGGACGTTATTTGTCCTTGTCCACCGCGACCTTTTCAGATCTATTGTGGGACAACTCCTAAAGGAAAGCACACATTAGACAATCGCGGTCCAGTCGTGTGGACTGTGCTAATCTGGAGCGCACACAGTGAAATTCTTTCTAATATTTTATAACGCATGAATTACGTCAACGTTCCTTATAGGCTTTTCCTAGAAACTCTTATCGCGTATCTTTTTTCATTATTCTGGTTTACAACATTTTTATGTGAATTATTCACTTGTTAATTAGATCTCTTGGTAGTTAGATGTATTATGTTAAATGAAATAAAACTTTTAAAAAATGAATTTTGAGATCAGAAAATATTTGTCATGCATTTCCACTTGGTGTTTTTAAGTTGTTGTCGCTGGAATCGCGTTCTCCTTCTTTTTTTTTATCTATTGTTCAACCTGGTTTAACTCCAGATAATGTTGTTTACGTTGTATTGCTTTAACATATTCTTTATTAATATTATACAACATATCATTTGTATTTCTAGTGGGATTGTTCAGCACATTACTGATAATTCCGACAAGTGGAAGGTGCTATTTGATTCGGGAGAACCGCAAGAATGTAAATTACCTGAACCATGGGAAACTAAGTTAAATTTGCTACAAAAATTGGTGCTTTTGAGGTGTATTCGATTCGACAAAATTGTGCCAGCTGTCCAAAATTTTGTTGTATGTAAGTGTAAAAGGATTTATCGATTTTTCTAGTTTCGAATAAAAATTTTTATCATAAAAAAAATAACTAAAGTTACATTGTTCTATTTATATGATGTATGAGGGTGAATTTATGTATAGTAATTATAGCTGGTTTCTTGGATATACAAAAATTTGCAACATTAAAGAACAGTAACTTATATTTTGCGCAAGTTAAATTTAGTGCGTTTTGTTTATCTGTCAAATAAGGAAACTATTGCAAACGAAGATGAAATGTAAGTGTAATATTGGGCATTATTATTAGTAAAATATAAAGAATTACACAAAAATTCTAAAAAGTATTTTTTAATGTTTTTAACTTAACATTTCAAATAGAAAAGACACCTATTGAAATAAACCAAACAATTAGGTTATTACTTTAGTCAACGGCTTACATAGAATTAGATAATTGTCCAAGGTAGTACGTTGATATTCTAAAAAGTAAATTTTGGGTTTAAATACACGGTCGATAGTTGATAGACGAGACTAGTCTTAAATAAGACTCGAGTAAAGGACTGCGGTTCGGAATACTGGCCATTAAGCCTTTCAGTATTTACGAGGTCTTCGGGACGCTAGGTCCCTCTAATAAATCTTGTAAGCAATCTTAGCTTTTCTTCTTCACCTATACCCGTCTCACTGTTAGGTATAGAATGTAAAAAATTCTCGAATATTTTAATCCTTGTGTCCATTCTTTGGTGGAGTTGAGGGAATAGGTTCAGCTTCAAACCGCTCAAGGCGTAAAAATTTGACCATAATGTTAAATAAATTGTAATAAATCTTGAATTTTTAGACTTTAACATTAATCTTTGACTATAACAAAATGTAAATAACTGAATGGATATGAGTTAGAACAGACTATAACTATAAGATAAAATAAACTAAGTATAAGATGAGAACATACCATATACTAATAAACAGGTATATAGTACAGTTCCGAAGCTTCAAAGTTAGGTTTTTTGCAGATTTGTGTGCTAGTGGTAAATAATCTTTAAATTATTTTAAAATGTTGTTTGGGTTTGTTTTAAAACAGTTAATTTGTTGATTTTAATTTAAATGGCAATTTTTACATTTTTGTATCAAGTTTTATCTATTCCTATATTTCTCAATATTTATTTATTTATTTATTTATTTCCGTATTTGTTCCTTAAATATAAAATGATTATTCTGTAATTATTTTAAATACAAATTTGTTACTGTTTTTTCAATTCTCTCCGCTCTTTTCCAAAATTAGATATGAAATATTTCGAGCATTTGTGAAGCCTCGGCGTTTCTACCCCTACGGACTAGAAGAGTATCTTACTAGTTGCTAAAGCCGCTCGACTAAGCTATTTAATAGATAAGCTTATTTATTTTTAATTTTATTTTATCTCTTTACCACTGGTGAATGGATATTCATTTGGGACTCCAGGCCCCTTTGGCTAGTTACAGTGCTGTCTTCATCCCTTAATGGTATATTAGCAACATTAGTTAAAGACCTATGAAGTGTTACAAATAAGTCTTTAGACTAGTTGGTTGTTATATTTCGTGATTGATTGTTTGTTTCCTTCAGTTAACTGTGGTTTAGGAAATTAAGTAAATACGTTGCAAATTTTTATAAAAAAAATCTTTTGGAAAAGCTAGTTACTAGTTACTATTACAATGGGTACTCCAACAAGAGTGCATATATTAAATTTCTCATAATAACAACCATAATTGGCCACCAAAATCGTGATTTTTAGTTGTTAACTATTGTGTGATCTCGCGCATATACTGATCTCTCAACAACAAATTATGTGCCGAGAGATAGAGAAGCTAGACACTTTCTGGAAATGTGTGGTGCAAAAAGTGAATTGTTCCTTTATCAGTTTGGCAGGTTGTTCCTGCTAGAACCATATATGTTATTGTTAACTAGTGAATGAACGAACACTATTCATAGGAAATACTTTAATAATTAACAAGATTGACAATTTCAGAAAAATGTCTGACCTGACATTTTTCATCTATATCAAATAATAACTAACTTAATGTCTACAGGACAAGCATTTAATCTATGTAGTATTAATGAAATATGCTAACAGTTATATCAATAATGGGACATGTTCAGATATATGCTGTTTTATAAATTATTTTGTAATAGTCACTATACAAGTTATTTTAAATAATCAGTTTGTTAAAAAGGCCAAAAGTTTTTAAAGTAAAACCATGTATAATTTAAAATTTGAAATGTGTACGTCATCGGGAATAGATCAATCAGCTTGTGTGGAAGTTTTGTTTGTCTAGTGACATCTAATCTAACATTCGTTGTTGTGTTTACTTTTTTTCTCGATTCTCGGTTTATTTCTTTTGTCTTTGCTAATTGGTTTAATTTTATTAATAATATGAGTTTTATCAGCTGGATTTAGAAAAGTTAATTGAAGTGTTTTACCGATTGTAAACCAAGATATAATTTTATAACAATACTCAGTTTATAAGTGTTAAAGTTAAGCATGTTAAGACAGAAAGGTATGTAACACTATTTATATTTTGTTTCAATAGTAGATACAGTTTATATGGGACAATACACCTTATAGTAAAAACATATTTATCCAGATCATTAGAGTTGTCGAACAGTAACAGTTTTTCAAAAATAAGCACTTTAATTTTACCTTTTACCTCATTTATATGTATAAGAAAAATATACATTTCTCATAATATATTAGCGTACACTGATATTCACAAATACGACACTAGAAAAATTGGGACAAGATATCTGTAACTTGAAGCAATAACGGCCAATCTCTAATTTGAGCAAGAGAGCGACGTTTAAAGCTGTGCTGTTAGTATTATTTCTATAATTAGAAGTATAATTATGTATTACCTGAGAAATAGCAAATTTGTTATTGTATAAAATGAGATTATACAATTTGTCTAACTCAAAAATTAAAACTAAATATCATCTAAAACTATTGAGAAGGGTAACGCACAAGTATTACTGTAATACTATTTTTATTTGGTAGAAGATTACCTAATTGCTACATGTCATTGTAAATAATTTTTTTTCTTGTGGTTCTTGGGTTTTAGGTGTTGGTTGAGGAAATGAAACTCGTGTTAAGGTAAAGCTTTCGGCGCTGCTCAGGGCCTTCTTCAATAGTTTTTTTAATTTTTTAAATATTTGTACATTATTGACAGTTAATTGTTTTTAGTACATTATGGAATGTGTAATTATAGTTTTTAAATGTTTTAAATCCTTTTATATTATTCTGTAATTGATTTTTGTCATTGTCGTGTTGTAACAACCACCGTCACTTAGAAAGTAACTGTTGTCATTAACTTATAATGTAGTATGTAGTGGCCAAAAGGACTCTAGTCATCAACGGGGGGTACACAGTAAGTGTAAAGGCAGCGACTGTCACCAGCCACAGTCAGGGGGTAAGGTCCTTAGAGCTTATCCACTCTCACCGTGACAAAAAAAGGAAAAAGAAAAAAATAAAATAATAGGTTTAAAATAAAATAATTTTCCCCCCGTGATGAATAGTACGAGTGGGTTAAGGAAATGGTTTGGCAAACTGACAATAGGCACCTATAGTCCTTACTCGGGGGTAGGTTCGCCGGTAAGAGAGCTACAGTCACAAGGGGATCAGACCAACTCCAATAGACTGGAAGCTGGCCTCCGAAATCACAAGACCACACAGGATTAGTTGGGCTATCAACAAACTTAAGGCATACAAATCCCCGGGGCCGGATGGAATATATCCAATTCTGCTCCAGAAGGGAAAAGATGTGTTAATGCCACATTTATGCAAAATCTTCAGAGCATGTATTGCCTGGAGATATATCCCAGCAATATGGCAAAAGGCGAAAGTAGTCTACCTTGCCAAAGTAGGTAGGGTCACAGACCAAACGCCAAAGTCATATCGCCCCATAAGCCTATCCTCCTTCCTACTTAAAACACTAGAAAGATTAATAGATAGGTATATCAGGGACGATATACTAAAAATAAATCCGCTCCATCCCAACCAATATGCATACCAGCCAGGAAAGTTAACTGACCTAGCGCTGGACGATCTAAACAGGCTGCTTTCAAAGTCAATAGATGACAAAGAAATCGCAATAGCCACTTTCTTAGATATTGAAGGAGCTTTCAACAATGCCTCAACCAGGTCAATAACCAAGGCTCTAGAAGGGAGAAACGTCCCAGTAACAATATGCCAATGGATCACTGCCTGTCTAGAGAACAGGATTATTTTATCCACTCTAGGAAAGGCAACCATACAGGCAAAAGTTACACGGGGCTGCCCACAAGGAGGAATACTATCTCCAATGCTGTGGTCAGTTCTCGTGGACGACTTACTCAAAATATTGTCCAAAGAAGGCTACCAGTGCCTAGGATACGCAGACGACCTAGCAATTATCGTCAGGGGGCGATTTGCAGGTACAGTTTCGGAGCGATCTCAAACAGCTCTAAACATAGTGAACAACTGGTGCAAAAAGGAACAATTGTCCATCAACGCACAAAAAACAACAGTTGTACCATTCACAAAAAAACGGGTACTCACAGGTCTAAGACCACTAGTACTAAACAGCACAGTTATCCCATTCGTCACAGAAGCCAAATACCTCGGAGTCATATTTGACCAAAGGCTGACATGGAATCAACATCTCAAAAAACTCACACATAAAGCTACAATAGCTCTCGTAAGCTGTAGAAGAATATGTGGGAAAAACTGGGGTCTAAACCCCAAAATGACCATATGGTTATACACAAGGGTAATAAGACCCATGATAACCTATGGCGCAGTGGCGTGGGTAACCAAAACTGCGCAGGCAAGTGCAATAGGCCAACTCACTAGCATTCAGCGGCTTGCCTGTCTAAGTGCTACTGGGGCCATGCGCACTACGCCGACCGCAGCAATGGAGGTATTACTAAATCTCACGCCATTGCACATCTTCATACAAGGAGAAACCAGGTCAGCTATTCACAGGCCAATGCAGGGACAAAACCCAATAAGCCAACTACATAGCGCCGACCACACAAGGCTATATCAGCAAGTACAAAGGGATAATATTCTAGCTATGCCTACTGATAGAGCCATAACCACATACAAATTTGAAAGAAATTTTCAAATTCAAATACCAGCCCGAGAATCCTGGAAACAGGGACCTCCCGTACAGGCTGAACTCGTCTGGTACACAGACGGTTCAAAAACCAAGGAAGGAGCCGGTGCTGGAATCTATGGACCTAAGTCGAAATCAACGATTTCACTAAGCTTAGGAAAATATGCAACAGTGTTCCAGGCTGAGCTAATAGCCATACAACACTGTGCAAGAGAAATATTAAATCAGCAAGTATCAGGCAAAACTATTGCCATATACTCTGATAGCCAAGCAGCTCTAAAGGCAATTCTCTCACCAGAAATCAAATCACGACTGGTGAAAGACTGTCTAGAAGACCTGACAGAGCTAAGTAGTCAAAATAAGGTGACCTTAGCCTGGGTTCCAGGCCATGAGGGATATCAGGGCAACGAAAAGGCCGACGAATTAGCCCGAGAAGGCTCAGATAAGGCCATGACAGGCCCTGAACCCTTTTGTGGAGTCGCTAAGGCATTGTGCAAGGCATCCATTAAACAATGGATGCAAAAAGAGTCTCAGGAATGGTGGAACAACTATCCAAGACTGAGACAGGCCAAACAGTTCATCAAGGAACCATCGGCCAAGTTTACGAAAGACCTACTGAATCAAAAACGTCAAATCGTTAGGATAACAGTAGGCCTTCTTACTGGACACTGTCGCCTCAAAAGGCACATGAGTGTCATAAATCCAGCAGAAGAAGCAACTTTGTGCAGGTTCTGTGAAGAAGAAGAGGAAACATCATTCCACGTCCTGTGCCAATGTGAAGGCTTGGCTGGAATGAGGTTTCTAACATTGGGCGAAGAAAAGCCAATTGCATGCAACTACATGCGGGAGCCACTGTCAAAGCTACTAAGTCTAATAAAAAAGACCAGGCTAGACGACATACTCTAAAACAAACGGAGTCCCACAATAGATCTGAAAAGGTCGCGGTGGACAAGGACAAATAACGTCCAACTCCTAATCTAATCTAATCTACTCGGGGGTAGGTTCGCCGGGGCTTCGCAAAAGTGCCCGGAGTGTCTTTTGACAAAAGAGGAAGGTAGACCTGATGAGATCGAATATATTTTGGTTAAGAATTAAAAAAAAGAACATCTAAATAATTATTCAATTATCTAACTCTGGACTTTGTTAGATAGCTTATCTGGACTAGGGGTTGTTCCTCTTTATGGAACTGGGGCTGAACTCAACAACTCGTAACACACATAAGATAAAAACAGGAGAAGGTTTAACAACTTAATATATTTAACATGTAACATTAAACATGTAACAGTTTATAAAATGATAACGATCAAATAATAGCCTATGTTTAGAGGTACAAGATACACCCTGAGGTTCTCGCCTAATTCGTTAAATCAGCCGACGATAATAAAGTACCGTTAACTATTATAGAAATGAATGGCAAAACGTGTCAAAAATCTCGTTGGATCTTGTAGCTACCAAATTTAAAAAATAATTATATCACTTCCTAAAAAAAATCTAAAAAGAGAGGTAACTGAATAATTTGGCAAAAATGAAAAAAAGTCACAATTTTAATGTAGTGAAAGAGGAAGGCTTACCTTGCACTAAGTTTAAATTAATTGTCTGATATTTATTATTAAAGCACAACTTAAAAAAAATTACTTTATAACTCCCAATATACAATTTAACGGCGTCAGTGAGTAGTCGGACAGCGTAACGTCCGGCCCAATCATTTTTATATTAATTGAGACGTGCTTTCTTTGAAATTTTTGGTCAACTCATATATTTAATTTACTTTGATATTATAGTAACTGTTTACTATTTCTAAGGTCAAATGAAGAAAGGTACTTGAAAAATTATATGAGATTTTTACGTAAAATCTTTAGATTAATTAAAATAATTGCCAAATTATTACAGTGTCCGGTTTTGATGCTGTGGTATCCGTTGTCAGTTTCGATAGATAATTACACATGAACATAAAGTATTTTGCATTGTTTTTTCCATATTTAAAGTAAATAATGAGGTAGATAAGTTGAATTTGATAATAAATCTTTAGAGAAAATTTTAGCAACTGCATCATTGTATATATATATTTTATTTTTTGCAAATAAAGTGTTCTTCACTTCGTTTATCTTATTCAGATATTTCTATTTTTTAATAATAGGTTAATAAATAAAATTTTCACAGATTTACATTTTTGTTTTCATACAATTATTATAATCTCTGAAATATGATATATTAAAAAAAAAACACAATTAAACAGTTTATTAAATTATTAGGTATTTAGTCTTACAAAATGAGTTCTTTTAAGTTAACAATACCATTAATTTACACAGAAATTACAATTAAGTATCATTAAGGATTTTAAAAACACTGTTGGGCAATTCTAAATATATCTTCGATTTATTTTCAATTATTTTGTAAGTTCATTGGTTTTGAAAATTCTGCTCATTATTATTAAGTCCCTCTGACTGAGATATTAAAAATGTTTCCTCTGATTTAGACAAAATTTCACTATTTACAAAACTTTCAGGAGGTTCTGAATATTGCAGAAGGGTTTTTAGGTTATATACCTTCGAACTTATAGTAGGCTCATTTTAAATTTCCGGAAGGGGACAATGTCTTAAAGTGCTGCTGCATCTTGAAGATCTGGTGTATTTTTAATAAATAGAGATGAAAAACGCTTCTAATAGAAGGTTATTTTCCAGTTAACTTTTTAGAAAACATTTTTTTATGTTTATTGTTTTTCTTTTTTTAGTAGAATCAATGAGCTGGCTTTTATGTGGTAAATAACAAGATCTGTGAAGACATTTGTGTGGTATTACCCACTTCCTATTATGTAAAGGTTTATCCATCATTTAAAAAATTAACATTTTGAAAATCATCTGGTATCTAAAAAAAAAAGAAAAAAAACATCGTTACTACAATTACTATTTAATAAAACGAAAACCGTCTTTCGGCGGCATGGTCTTCTCACATATAAGATTTGTTGATGAGGGCGGCAGGCTATCAGAGTATTGATAAAGCCGCCGGACGACGGTCTACTGTATAATGGCCTGGTGAGAAGTGTCCTGGAATACTGTTCTGTTATTTGGCAACCTACTTACACCTGTCATATCAATAGAATTGAAAGGGTGCAACGTAAATTCGTAAAATACCGATTTCATAGCCATAACACATGTTATCAAATAAGATTAATGCTTTGCGGCATGCAGTGCCTGGAATGCAGAAGAAAATTACTACAATTAAAGTCTATTAAAACATTTTCATATGAATAAAGAGTATAGATACAAATCTCAAAATAATTTAGCTGTTGCTTGAAGCGTTTCTGTGTAATAATAACGATAATTTTCTTTTTCATATTTCTAGCAACACTTATAAATATTTTTAATAATGAATGTAAATCATTGTCATATCTTGAGCGGAAACACTTTTTTGTACTCATAATATTTATAAAAACATACAAAATTAAATAATTATTGATTGACACAACATACAAATTCTTGATTGACAGATGACACATACAATGCTGTTGCATTGCCATTGTCTTGTTTATTAGTTGACGTTTTTTTAAAACAATAAAACTATAAATATGGTGAAAGTTTAAACATAAATAATACTTTTAAAAACATTTGATATTTTGTATTTAAAACATATTTTAAAAGTCTAAAAGTAAGACACAAACGAACATATATTACTTCTTGTATACCGTCTAACCGGAAACGTTGTGTAGATAATTCTTATTGGTCTATTCCCGGTTACGTCATAAATTTTAAAAAATTAATAACTCTGGCAAATGAATAGATAAAAAAATTTAAATGTAGTTTTATTTTTAACTGTACTATTCATAAAAAAATTTTCAAAATTTTTGAACATGTCCCATTGGGATGAATATAAAAATTATAGAGTTTTACTGTTGAAGGACTAACCGTTACAAATTAATTCAAGGTAACGTGGAAGATATTCTTGTCTTATCGTTTGTTTTTAAATTTTAGCTCATATAGGAAAAAAATTCATCGAACCGCCACCTTTCGATTTGAGCTCGTCCTATGCCGATTCTCATTGTTGCATTCCTCTAATTTTTATTTTAACTCCCGGCTCTGATCCCACGGGTGTTCTACTTAAATTCGCCGACGATCAAGGCTTCGGAACTAACAGATTATTTGCTCTTTCGCTGGGCCAAGGTCAAGGACCTATTGCCATGAAACTGATTGACGATGGCGTAAGAAACGGCACTTGGGTGGTGCTGCAGAATTGTCATCTTGCCAAAAGTTTCATGCCGAATTTGGAGAAGGTAAGTACACTTCGTTAAAAGTAAAAGTAAATGCTATTTGAAAAATAAATTCGTATTTTGAGAAATGAGTACTACAGTGGTTAGAGTCTGTACTTTTCGATGCTAATTGAAGACACAAGTGGATGAAGGGCCTATGTAACATTTTTTTTAAATGGTGTTTTTCCACAGATTACCCAGATGCGAAAGTTGACAAAGAACATCAAAATTAAGAGAGAGATAAATGGCCATACCCATTTACAGGTCCCTCGTAGCAACTAGTTTCCACTCACGTAGTTCCGAAGGCAAAAGTTATTTCATTATGCGAAGTTGCCGATGCTCCTAAGTTTTATGATGTTATGTGACATTGGAATTTAAGTCAAATGAAAATGTACATACATTTTTTAGTTACCCCCACATACTTCGATTTTTTAGTATGTGGTTACCCCAGACGTTACATACAAATAACGTATAATTAAAATCCGCTAAACATAAAATAATATAAAACCATTTAAAGGTTTATAGTTTACATTTATCAATGACAATCAATGGGCCAGTGGGATAGCGCTCTCAAAATAAATACTTTTTAAAGACCCATGAAAACAATTATTTTTCTTTTATAGTGATGTAACAGAAGAAGACAGCTGAAATTTCAGCCCTTTTTATCGAAAAACAAAAAGTTATGATTTTTTTTGTAAAAAATGCATTTTTTCAAGCTTTTAAATTTTCCGGATTTTTTATGAACGTTGATCTTTTTTCAACTCGAACTATTCTACAGTTTAAAGTGGTATCTAAAGAGGATCTCTGAATTTTTTTAAGACAAAATAATCAATATTTACAAAGATTTTTATCACTGGGGTTCGTACGTACCCCACGAGTCCAGGTATGTTACTCAGGATGAGCATGCCAGATGAAGGTTAATACAATTCAAGGATTTAAACACCCTTGTCAACATTTTTCTAATTACTACTTTTTAAAGTATTCGTATTCGTCTTCGAATATTTTACCTAATAAAATTCAGCAACATATATTTCAGAAATCAGCAAAAAAATAGGAAGGTTGTCTTAATGAGTGCTTTAGACCTGATTTTTCATTAAATAATTAATTCATGAAGAATTTGATAAATATAATACTAAAAACCAAATTTAATGAATATTCATGAATAAATGTTCTATTTTGCATTTTCATCCAATTATACTTTACAGTTCAGAAGTATCAACCTACCAAACTATTTGTTCAATATTTGTTTTATTAGGTTTGTGGCTACAGGCGATAGAATTGTAATTTCCTGCTAATATGGCTATATGCAATAAATATTCAACCTCAATTATTTACAGAAGTTGTATTGGTATACTTGTTAGTGATGAGTTTATATTGTATCCCAACAAACGATGAATTGCCGGGATATTGCTAGCCTTTTGCTGTAATTGAAGCAAAAATGAATGCGAGGATTAAAAAATAAAAGGCTACTTTTGTCCTTTAAATAGTGGCCCAGCATTATGTTGGTTGATGAATGGGTGAGAGCCAGGTAAAAGTCAAAAGGCTTTTAACTGCCGCAGACCCAACCCTCCATCAGTCCAGGAGGATTCCGTCCCGCGTTCATAGATGGAGCCACCGATGATCACTTGCTACATACTCAACGAGTGGACATGAGGCCAGTTTGGGATTGATGATACTCACTATTCATTGTAATTTCTTTCTCATACATGTTATTAATTTAGAATATTTTATGAAAATGCATTTTTTAGAAGACATTTTATCTTTATTTGTATATTATATAGCTGAATTAAATAAAATGTCTACAATATTCTAGGTATATTGGAATGCATTCGGTTTTATATTTATACTTCAAACAGTACTGCTGGTCAAAGAGGCACTATCGAATTGTACCTGGCACATGGCCTTTATTAGCAGTCAGTAATAATGTCCCGTTAACTTTCCATCAATAGGCTATTAATTGCCAATATATTTATTTCAACACATTAAAGAGAAAAACGGTAGTCTTTAACTTGATTCTATGTTTAACAAAGCCTGCTTGATAAATTTTTAAAAAACCCTTTACAATTTAATTCGTTGCTTGTTATAACTTTTTACCCCAAAATAAAATTTTTAAAATATTAATACAAATTATATTCTTTTTCTTTTAAAATGTTTAAAAATGAAACTCCTATCGACAACTTTTTTAACATACCAGTGCTGCTACTATAAATTAATTATCTAAACCAACCCTGGCATCCAAAACGCATGTTTAGAAAAAAGTTATATTTAGTAAGACTGATTGAAAATAATTAAAATTGGCAACACCTATGCCATACCCATTTAAAGGTCCAAGGTCATAGAAATCTCATTTCAAAATCCTTTGATCTTTTGCCGGGTTTCGCATCTGTTGTGGTTAATCTGTGGTTTTTCTGTGAATGAATGGCTTATTTACTTAAAAGTCCGTGACAATATATCATTAAATATAGAAGTTGTCAGTGGATAAAGGACCCATGTACTAGGGAATAACTGCCAAACAATAAAATTTAACACGAAATATTTCGCAAAATTAATTTGCTACATAGGCCCTTCATCCACTTCTGTCTTCAATTACCAGATATAATCACTGTTGGATTTTGTAACGCCGAGAAATGGGTCATTCTTCAAACGAGTGCATATTTCAACTATTTTTTTTTTTAACTAAGTTAGTGGCACTGGATATAAACCAACAGGCCAGTCAATTGTCAGGTGAACAAATAAAAATATTATATAACAAACTTTATTATTTTACAAATTATATTAAAGTTGCTCTACCTTAATAACTAAAATAACCTGAACTTAATATGGTTTAAATATTTTGTTTATTTTTGTTTTTTTTTATTTTTGTTTTTTTTTATTTTTGTTTTTTTTTATTTTTGTTTTTTTTTATTTTTTTTTGTTTTTTTTTTTTTTGTTTTTTTTTTGTCTTTATTTTTTTTTCTTTTCTTAACATTTTTTTCGAGTCAGGTGTACAAATTTTTTTATTGGTAGCATCGCTACTTACATGTTTTATTTCTATTTCCTAAGTACAGTTTTAATTTGAGTGTTTTGACGAAATTATAGAGTATGTTATATGTACTGTCAAATGTCAGTAGATTTTTTAAATTTATAGGTAACTGAATTTTGTTGTTAATTAAGTTTTGGTATAATAAATTAATTTCTAAATCGTTTAGAATACAATCCAAAAATATATGTTGTAAATCAGCAATCTCATCACAAATACACAAATCAGTATCTATTATACCTATTCGCTTCATATATTGAGGGTATAAAGCATGATTAGTTCTAATTCTGCTAATCGTTTGGATAAGTGGTCTATTTGACAGCTTATCAAACCACGGTTTTACCCTTATATTAGGTTGAATAGATTTATAAAAATTACCTGTTTCCTTCTCTACATATTTTGCTTGCCAATTTTGATCCCTTTTATATCTGAAAAAAGTATTTAGATCGGATAGGGGTATTTTAAAATTACTTATGTAATTAAGTTTTGTTGGAGTTTTAGCCAAAAAGTCTACTTTTTCATTATTAGGTATTCCCATGTGGGCTTTGACCCAAGATATGTATATTCGTTTATCCTGATTTCTTGCCTCAAAATTTATTTTTAAAATTTCCAAAATTATGTAATTAACTTTTGAATTAAAATTAAAATTTTGAAACTTTTGAACTAAACTTTTGCAGTCTGTGAAAATGACAAAATTTAATTCCTCTTGATTAAGACATAACGAAAAGGCTTCTGTAATTGCTAATATTTGTGCACTATAAACTGACATACAATTTGGCAAACGTTTTAAAATAAATTTGGATCTCTTTATTGGGATAATATAAAGCGTAACCTACTTGATTATTTAATTTAGAACCATCAGTGTAAAGTGTTTCATAATGTTTCCATTTTGTATTTAATTCTTCATAAAAAAAAAAACTTGTAAATGCCTAATAGTTCTTTTATTATCAATTAAATTATTCCATTATCATCAATTTTATAGCGTTTTTAAAAAAAGCCCTACCTACGGTAATGATGCAAAGTGCCTTCGGAGATGACGGCCTGGAATGGAGGTTAACGTGTCTCCAGTCAAGAAGTGCGCTGGGGTAAGAGGTGTTGGATCGTTAGGATCATCGGATAAAGGATACAGGGGTCTAGAGTTAAGGATGCCTTCGATTTGAGTCAGAAGAGTCAAAAATTGTTCAAATGTCAGCGATGTCTCACCTAGTACTCTGCGCAAGTGTTGTTTTACCGATTTTACCCCGCGCTCCCATAGTCCACCAAAATGTGGAGTTTTGAGGTATGAATTTCCAAGAAATATCTTCTTGAGTGAGTTTTTCATTTATATCACTAGATAGATTTAGAAAATATTTTAATTGATTATTGGCACCAGTAAAATTAGTGCTGTTGTCAGAATATATGGTTAATGGTTTGCCTCGTCTAGAAGTGAATCTCCTTAGTGCTACTAAGAATGAATTAGTAGTTAGGTCACCGACTAGTTCTAGGTGAAGAGCTTTAGTTGCCATGCAGACGAAAAGACATATATCAGATTTAACTATTTTATAATTTTTAGTCACACGATCCTTTAAATTAAAGGGACCGGCATAATCTATACCTGTATATAAAAAGGGTTTTGACGGATTTACTCTCTGTGGGGCAAGTTCGCCCATCAGGGGTTGGATTGGTTTACAATTATATCTAAAACATATCATACATTCTCAAATGATTTTTCTAGACAAGTTTCGGCTATCTAAAATCCAGTAACGCTCCCTAATAGTAGATAACGTTAGCTGAGGACAAGCATGTAATAAATTGTTGTGCTCATGACTAACAATTAATTTTGATAAAACATGTCCGTTAGGAAGAAGGGATGGATGTTTTTTAAAGTAAAACTGGCGAATATTGCTAACATGAGCTTCTTCCTGTTTATCAGCATCCTTAAAATGCACATATGCGAGAACACCTTGTATATATTTTACTTTACAAACTTGGAAGGGTCCTCTGGTTATGTATTCTTTACCAGTTT